TTAATAAAATAAGATAAAGTTTCCTTTTTTTAATAAACAAAACTTTCTTTTCGATTATATTTAAAATTTTATTTTGCTCCAAAATTTATTACGTAGATCCTTTCCATTTTTCGCGAATCGTGAATTATGCCTTATTCCATAGACCTTTTCAGACTTCAATATTTGTTAACAAGAAGTGATAAGCATATACATATTTTTTTTTATTAGATAAAACTTTATATTATATAAAACAAAATACAAAGCATAATTGATACCAATTCAAGTTTAAAAGAGCTAAACTCAGAATTATTGACAAGATATTACATGGAAAACAATTGAATTAGTACAAATAAAAATAATAAAAGAGGCATTTCATCTTTGAAATAGAAAAGATAGTAAGCTTATTAGTGCTATGTAAAAAATTTGTGTAATGCTGAAAACAAAGATGAGTATATAGAATATACAGCAATAGCGCTTTTTCCAAATGAGGAAACATATAATAAAATGATGTCAATATTTAGAAATTGGTTTCAAGAACTTGTATGTTTAGAGAATTTATATATGAGTTAAGTAGATTATTAATATTGATTATGTAATATCCATTTAGGTGAATATTCAACTTCCTTAATGGTATTTTTTATTTTTTCCATAAAATTTATTGTATATATTATACATGAATTAAAAATTGAAAAAATTGAATTTGAGTCAAGTGAAATTCTCATTTTTACATAGTAAATTGATGCAATTATTAAGTTAGACATAATTAAAAAATTGAAAAAATTAGAATTGAGTCAAAAGCTTTTTACTTTTGAAGACATGTATAGTATATTTGTTTTAATTATTCTGATTTTGTAGAACCACTTGTTGAATCTGAAATAAATCAATAATAAATTTAGGAACAGTAACTTCACAATTTTCACTAGGAATCATAATAATATATTCAACTGTATTAAAAATTTCTCTAACAATTGGAGGATTTCAAAATACATTTTGTACAGGGATATTCACCTGGTAAGTAGGAAGACCTGGTCCATTGCAAGCAGTAACAAGACCAGTGTAATAATCTAATGTTTCAATGTTCTACTATAATATTCAATATTTGCAAAAATGTATTAGCTTTAAATATGATATTTAATTATCAATTATTGAATAATTCTACAGTTTTTACAACTACACCAAAATGTCCTACTACTGCTACTCACCTAGGTGTTGATATCTGATATGACCAAAGCATAGCCTAATATTAAAAAACATTTAGAAAATTTGAAAATAACAAATATACCATAACACATACTAGTCAAATTGCCTCAGCATTTTGTATAACTCATACTTTATAAAGTTTTATACCAAGTATATATATTGCTGTCACATCCAAAGTTCACACTTTGCTACCAAGCTTGTATAACTTTGGCTTATAGCAATTTTGCACATGGGTCGTGTATGAGGTTTTCTCCTATATAATTTTTTTATAATAAGATTCAATAAAATTAAGGAAAATGAATCTAATATACATAGAACTTACAGATGTATCAACAAGAGGAATCTTAAGATGTCTTTGAAATCTTGTACAATGCAATCTATATCATAGGTATACATGTTCCTAAAATTGATTTTGGATTTTTGAGATATTTCAACTTTTTGAAATTTATGCAGAATCTATTCTATATATGGAAGTAAAAAAAGTACCCAGTTATGTATATATTCAATTAAAGAATAAATCTGAGTGGTCAAAAAATTTTGGATTTTAAATAAAATAATTTCGTCTTCTATAAAAAACATTTTGACTTTTTTCCCCAAAATTGTAATTTCGGGATCCCAAAATAATTTTACATACAAATATAGTCATAGGTAAAAGTAGAGGAGCAGATAGTTTTGGAATAATATTTAAACTTGAATATATAGTGATATCAGGTACCAATAGTTTTCTCCTTCACATGGATAATAGTGAGTTATTATAAGAGAGAAGGTTATAATACACACAAGTCAAATACAAAAGAATAGGTAACACAAATAGGAATTTCAATTTTAGCTGATTTATAATATCATGATATAGAATAAAATAGGATAGTTGATTTTAGCTAGTTTATAATATAGGAATTCTGATTTTAGATAATTTATAATATAGGAATTATCATTTGGTACAGTGACTCTTTAGTATTTGACTAGTGACAAATAATAAGTCAAAGATTAGGTGTATCCTAAAAAATTTTTTTACCTGTATTAACTAAAACATCTATTGGAAGATTAATAATGGCAACTTCATTAACGTTAAAATATCTTTGAAACTGTGTAACAACTGATGCATGCACTGTTTTTCCATCAACTATAAATACATTTCCCTTTGAATCAACATCAAATTTATATCCACTTGTTTCTTAGCATTCAAAGAAAGCATCAATGGTTTTTAGTAATAAATTCTGGCCTATTTGTAAAGGCAAACTGCAATATGGATCAATGCTAGGCAAAATTTAGTCCATCTGCATGATATATACTTACTTCTTCTCTTCTAGACCCTTTTCTTCTACACTTCTAAAATTTCTTTCTAGAGACTGGAATCAATTAATCATCTTTAATTTTATCAGATCAATGTTTCACAATCATAAGGTTAATGGTCGATCTTTGTAGTACCTAATAGTTGTAAAAAAGGTGATTGTGTTTGATGATTTTTAACCATTTTTTTTGACTATTTTTAGGATTTTTATTCAATTTTGACTATTTGAACCATTATGCACAAAAAAATCTTAATAATAATAATAATAAAGTTCCTGTTGGCACAGATATAATTGTACAAATTTTATATTTTTGTCTATTTTTCTATTTCATTTTTCTAGAAAAGGGAAATAATTTACTTTCTTTTAGGTTTATTTCCATGCATATTATAGCTTTATATAACTTTATAGATCTAATGTTTTAAATATTATTAAATTGATTAAAAAAAAAAAAAACTTATATAAGTTATCCTGCATTTGTGATAAAAATAATTTATAACTTGTATGATTTTTATCTGTAATAGTTTCAGCCATACTGGTTTCACATTAATAAAGTACTATCAATCAACGAAATGTCTCATTTTATTTGGTTATATAATCCCCTGCAGATCCAATTTCATATGATATTTTGGTTTATCCAAATTCGGAGGTAATGATCGATCTGAATTGGTTTAGAATGTCATTCAAGGTCGATTCTAAATAATTAGGATACAATTGCCGTTGAACTTTAATATAATCAATCAAGCAATTGATCCATTCCCTATAATCATTACCATTAATATAAACTCGAAAATTCAAGCTGTTCAAAAACTTCAATTCCATCTTATTAATTTCATTAAATGGAATATCCGTGATTTCGGACCAAGTTTTGTTCGTGTAATTATAATCATTATGAAACTTATCGGCTAATATTAACGCGATAAGATATGTTTGATCCAAACCAAAATCAATGGTAGCACCGCTGGATAAATATCTTTGAAAATATTTCATTGAAATGATTACAGTCGCAGTTGAGAGGTTTGTTAAATATAATAGCTGAAAATTATTGTCAAGAAAAGGGTTGATGAATAAATGTTATTTGGAAATTATAATAATAATTTTAATTAAATATATAAAATCATATTTTATTTTTTCATGTGTGTGAAAATTTACCGTTGTAAAAAACTCCCTAAATTTTTTGACGGACATAGAAAATCGAGATCCTATTGTCATTTCCCCCATAGAATGGACAAAATTTGTAATAAATTCGACCAATTCGTTTGGACTGAAACTAGATGTTGTTATTTTTACTGGAGCTACCGGTGGCGGGATTAAGGACTTTACTTTGAGAGTATCATGGAAAATTTGGCTCACTGGACCGACCATAAGAAGAATTGACAAAGTTTAAGCTAAAACTAAAGGACGAAAAGAATACAAGATAATAGGCGAAATAAATGAGAGCAAGAAAAATTTAAAAAAGTTCTAATATCAGCGAAATAAAAGAGAGTGAAAGCAACTTGATTAAGTGCTAAAAATAAGAGTTCTAGTAATAAGCGAGAACAATTTAATAATAAAAATAAACAAAAAAAAAAAAAGGAACTAGCAAGAGACGAAGCAAATAGCGAGGAGGAATTTGAAATTTGGAACAAAAAAAAAGGGAGCAAAGGAATTTGACTAAGTACAAAAAATTGCCAAACTGGCGAAACGACAGAGAGGAAAGCCTGTTAATATAAAGATATGGGGGAAAAACAACCGTGTATTTAATCAAAAAATGCATTAACCAAAAAAGGAACGATTTGTTTTTAAAAAAATAAACAATAACAATAGATATAAAAATATAAAAAATATTTATAATGTCGTACCTCTTCTTAGGTGAACTTCTATTACACAATTTTTTAAATTTCTAAATTTCAATCAAAATAGTCATAATATATATATATGCAAATAATTTATTAATTTGCACATAACAAAAAATGGGTGATTAAGGATGACGTAAAATCTACGCACCTTTATTTATCTTTAATACTTACATCACATAAATAATTATTTTTCCAACTTATCTAAAACATGAAAATCACGTTGAGAATGAATTTTAGGGTTAAAGTAGTGGAGAGGTACTATTCCTTTATTGATTAGACAGTATTTTCATTTATGCATTAAAATTTTATGGAAAGTGACGAAGAATAAAAATTTGATTCAAAGTCTTATGGCTTAAAATATTTTTCCTGGTAACATAAGTGAATTATAACTAACTCATTATTCTTATATCATTGCTTAAATTGAAAAGTGTCTTAAAATTGCAATGGAAGAGACAGATGCTATAAAAATAGGCTTGTTACCCATTAAAACTAATAAACATGAAAAAGTTCCAAAAGTTCTTGACATTTTTCAAAGAATTGATGATAAATTATTATTATTATTATTAGCATCATTATATTATCATTATCACTAGGGTAATAGAATCCCAGATATGAATAAATTTACTGATCAATTGTTTTAATGTTATTGTTTTTATTTTTGCAATTACATTATTTGATTAAAAGTAATACTCCTTCTATTCATCAATTGGCTAAAGTATTATTCTATCTTAATTCACCATTTGTTACCCTCTTTTTGACTCTGGTTGTTATCTGGAACTAAAAAAAAACCTTGTAGTAAACAGATACCAACATTTGGTGGTGGATGAAGATATAGTTGGTAAATTATTTCTCTATTTGTTTGCTTAATATTCTCTTGTTTCTGTTCTAAATCTAACGTTTCTTTTTGTGACATGAGAACTTGTAATAGTGAGGTAAGTATATATTTCATTTAAATTATTATTACTATTTTATTACTTTAAATGCATCTTAGTATTTTAATAATTATTTATCTTATTAAGTGCTACAATCAATTTAAGAAATAAAAATTTTCATCCACGTGATCTTAAATAACACGTAAAAAAATAAAAAATAAATATTTATTTTCATTTATCACATTATCACTTTTTTTATATTTATTATTTTATAATATAAATAAATTATCCGAATTAAAGAAATTTTGTTCCAAAATTCTAGATGTAAATATTAGGTGATTTGTACATTTTTGAAATTTTATCATGCGAAGGAATTGAAAAATTTCCTAAAGAAAAATTTACAATAAACAATTAATAAAAATTATAATAAACAAAAAAAAAACAAAAATAATTTCTTTTCTCTTACCATAAATATCGGAAACTCTGTACATCTTGACATTACTAATTACACTATCATCTATATCATTTACATTTGTTATACTAGAAATCGATCTATCTTTCTTATTACCTTTCTTATTATCTTTTTTCTTTTCTTTCTTAACCTGTTTTTTGTTACTTTTACCACTAGTATTTTCATTTTTACCTGCCTTGGATGCCATACTACTAGCTTTTCCGTCAGGAATAGAAATAAATCGTGGAATTTTATCAATGTCATTATCCATTATGTAATAACCCTTGCGTTCAAATTGAATTATGTTTCCTATACATATAATAGTTAGTTTAATTACAGTGAAGGAAAAAAAAAATAGCTTCGGAACGAACCTTTTTTCAATTCTCTAACATTAGAATCTGCTAGAGCATCAGTAAGGAATTCACTCTTTTCAGTTACATAATCTTGAAGTTCATCATTTTCCTCTAATTTTCGTTTAGTTATCAAGTAATCATAATCAACTAATACCACTTTAGTTACTTCCGGAATATCAGCTAACCAAGTAATCTTCTTTTTGGTCTTTTTGAAATCTCCTTCCAAATGTAATTGTAATTCTAATCCGGATACAACTTCCTGATTAGATGTTGATTTATGAATAGCTTTGACAAAAGCATTTCCCCAATCCATTAGAGTAATCTTTATAAAGTTTTCATTGTATTGTATTAGAAATACAATAAAGAAAGATATTTGGAAATTTTCTGGGATAATGTATTTTTAAAAGTTTCTTACCTCTTCATCAATATCAAAAGTTTTAGCATCTTCTTGATCAATTAAAATTTTTGAAGAATACCAAGTTTTCTTTGTTCCAACATCTAAATTTTTCTTGTGCTTTGGTAAATCCTTAGAATATATAATTTCAGGTCCATTTATAATATTGACCTTAACACTAATAAAGCAGATAAGAATTAAGATTAACTGAAATTATATAAATTAATAATACTTAATACTAAGCATATTAAGCAATGAGTAAATATTCAACTTACAGGTCTTTTTCAAGAATTGTAGTATGTCTTGGGGAAACGGGATCAATAACTGATTTGTTTATCGCCCATAACTTATCCCACTCAAGTAATACTGTATTTTGCGAAGCACCTTGAATAAGAATATATTTTTTTAAGGCTTCAACAGTCATACCACGTCGAAGAATTCCTAAATTATTATATAGGAGTTAAATTTCAGTTTGGTGATGATCATAAAATTTATTACATTAAATGTTATTCAATATCGTTTCATTTCTCTCATATCTACCTCGAACAGTAGGAAATCTCGGATCATCCCATCCACTAACAAGACCTTTTTCAACAAACCATGCAAGCTTTCGTTTAGATAACAAAGTATATACAAAATTCAATCGACTATATAAAATTTTAAATCATTTATTATAAATATTTTATTATATTTTATTATATTTTCAAAAAAAAAAATATATATATATGAATTAACCTGAAATCCCAAATATAAACTTTTCTTAAATCTAACGCATTGAGAATCCAATCATATTGGGCATTACGATCCCGATATTCATTAGTTCTCAAAGCATGCGTGACACCTTCGACTGAGTCAACAATTGGACACGCGAAATCATACGTTGGATAAATTTTCCATCGATCCCTATTATTTTTTTGTGAATAGTGTATATCATAATTTTCCTTATTTTAAATTAAAATGTAAATAATTAAGACTATTGAATATTATTATAAATACCCTGTGAGAGGATGTGACAACAAATGGCACCTGTAGATGACAGGATCGCGTAGAGCTTTATTTAGATTTTGCATATCAATTTTTGCCCGTAAACAGCAATTTAACCCCTAAAAATATTATATATTATTTATTATTTATCTGAACTAAATAATAAAATTAATAAATAAAATAATAAATATATATATATATATATTTGTTTCCACCTACAAATTCTGTTCCCTTAAACATTTCATCAAATCTCTGTAAATTTTCTTCGATAGATAAATCTCGACATTTTGAAGCAATACCATCCATTCTTTGTTTGCGCATCTAATTTTAAAACATTTCCAAAGAATTGAGAATTAAATTTGGAAGCAAATTTAGAGTAGAAAAAAAAAATTTTAATATAAGTTTAATTACCGTGTTGACATCAGTATCATCTACGTAAGCTAATCCTTTTTTGATAATCTTAATAGCATATTGATAAAGTTCTTCAAAATGGTTTGAAGTATGAGATATTACATCCGGATTAATCCCGAGAAGAGATAAATCTTCTTTAATAGATTCTTCAAACTCTTCCTTTATTATTATTATTATTATTATCATTATTAAATTTAAATGTTAGTATATCATTAATATATTCTAATTTTTGAAATAGAATATCTTTTAATATAAATAACAAACCTTTTCTTTGTTGGGATTCGTATCATCTAGTCTAAGAATAAATTTACCATTATACTCTCTAGCAAAATATTCATTTAACAATGCTGCTTTGGCATGACCAATGTGAAGATATCCACTTGGTTCGGGAGGAAATCTAGTTACGACTTTTCCAAGTTCAGCATTAGTGAGTCCAATATTCATATTTGGTTGTTCTTTGCGAGGCTTTCCATAATAAAATTCAAAATAAAATTCGAAATTAAATTCGAAATTGGATTCGAAATATGATTAGTAAAAGGTCATAAATAATAGCGACAACAACAACAACAATAATAATAATACATAAATTATATAGAGAAAAGTTATTCCACCCCAAGATCTATAATTGTCACACACCTGGTAATTATTTGGTAATTCCATTTTACTCGAGAAGTTATAAGAACAAGGGACGATGAAATTATGCGGTGACAAAACCCAAATTATTTATTCGCTTGTGATTCTATTTTTTTAAAAATCATATATTATGTGACATTATTTGATAAATTTTAAGATTATGTAATATTATTTTATAAAATTTAAATGCAAATAAAAATAGGGCAAAAAATAAACTATTCTTTATTAAATGTTATATAAAACACCATTAAAATATAAAATATTTAACCTTTTAAGAAATCCAAAGACGATTACTATCTAATAAAGAATTATACATTGAAAAACTTCGCTCTACGCTACAACTTGATACTGGTAACCAAATATAATCAAAAGTTATTTTACAAAAAATTGGCAATTGTGTTGCCTTAATTAACCAATATTGATCCAATTCAATTTTGTTAACTATTTCACTATCTAATCCAACCATTCTTGTAATCTGCAAAAATTAAATAATCTTTACTGCGGATTATGCGTTGGACTATAGATTGTGATTTTCTGATGTGACAAACTTAAAATTATGCATTTTGTGCAAAATTATTCGTTTAATGTGATATTATGTGATTGCATCAAATCATCGTCTCTGAACTAGGTAAAACCTTTAAATTCTTTTATTTAATAAAAATGTCTTCGAAATTTACCATACATGAAATTTTCTTTTTCCAGATATTACTAAAAGTTTTTCTAATCCATTTTCATATTTTTTATCATATTTGTGAAACGGTATTTGTCTTTAAAGCAATTAGCAATGATAATAATAATAATTAGAAATAATGATCAAAATTTTTTTTCGATTCAATATCTTATAGTAGGTTAGGCAAAAAAAAAAGATCAATACGAAATAAAATTAATTTTTTTACTATACTACTTAACTAATTTGTCAATTTTTTTCTTAAGCCAATATCGCATTGGCATTTTATATTAATGGTCAATCTAATGAATCATTGAAAAGTATGTTTGAATATAACAAAAAAGGTCTATTATTGTTATTATTATTATTATTTTCATTATTCAGAAAATGAATATATTTATATTTCTTTAGATTCTCCGGTCTTTAAACACGTGCTTAAATCGGGTAAAGATATTGGAACATATGGTACAATTATGTGAATTCATTGGATTTTATCCAAAGAAGTCTTAAGTGGTCGATGGATCAATCACATAATATCACATTAATTTAAGTTTGTCACATCATAAAATCACATAATTCATACCTCTACACATAATCCGCAGTAAAGATTATTTAATTTTTGCAGATTACAAAATTGAATTGGATCAATATTGGTTAATTAAGGCAACACAATTGCCAATTTTTTGTAAAATAACTTTTGATTATATTTGGTTACCAGTATCAAGTTGTAGCGTAGAGCGAAGTTTTTCAATGTATAATTCTTTATTAGATAGTAATCGTCAAAATTTGTCTTTGGATTTTCTTAAAAGGTTAAATATTTTATATTTTAATGATGTTTAATATAAAATTTTATAAAATAATATTACATAATCTTAAAATTTATCAAATAATGTCACATAATATATGATTTTTTAAAAAAAAATAAAATCACAACTTATATTTAACGAATAAATAATTTGGGTTTTGTCACCACATAATTTCATCGTCCCTGACCTAGTTTAATAAGAAATCAGGGCTTATATTTTTGATAACGATTTTAGAATTTGATTGGTAAAATTATTTAAGAGATGTTTTACACGCCAATAATATTTTATTCATAGTTCGATTATTTATGACTCACACTAACTCACTCGAATGCAGGTAAATTGACAAAATTCGCAGTAAAAAGTATAAATATTTTCAAACACGTAGAACTATTTAAGGTTAATCAGACTAAAAACTTTGAAATGAGATGTTAAAAGTTAATAGTTTAAATCTTAAAGTTACTCTTTGCTTTGATATTAATTATTCTATTAAAAAAATTTTTAGCAGAAATTTTTAATGTTTCATTTTTATAATAATTAAGATAAAGAAAAAAAAAAAAAATATAATGAAAAAAAAAAAATTTTAAATATAAGTCTGTGTAATAATAATTTTTATTAATATAAGAAACTTTACTCCGGAATAATTGGAATAATGACTATAATAATAAAAGAATATGCTGAATTCTACCATCTACTACTTGATTTTCTAGCAATTCTAGCATTTTTTACCTATAACACGTTTAGAAGATCAAATAGCTCTATATAAAGATATTATTTACATTTTATGAGATTTACCCCACAAAACACACTGCCATTTTGGTACTAAATAATCGGCACTGCATATACAAAACAACAAATATAAATGTTCTAATGTAAATTTTTATTAATGATGTTTTTTTTTCAAATTAAATCAATTAAAATTTTTAAATTAAGACAAATGCAGACTTAAAGACAAATAATTCTAATAATCCATATTTTTTTTTTCTAAAAATGTAATCCTCACCCTATTTTTATATTTAGTTATCTATTTAGTTAAATAATTATCATTTTTTTCCCAAAGCAATTAAAATAATAACACCAAAAAAATAATACCAATAAATAATACCATCAAGAAATGAACATCAGATAAAATACATACATAATTTTACAAAGAAAAATTAAAAACTATTAATTAATAATTATAAGGGAAACTAAGGTTTTTGTATATTTTCTAAATAAAATTTTAAAATTATGAGAAATAAATAATAATAATAATATATATATTAAAATAGTGTAAAATAAAAAATAAAAATTTTTATTACAAAAGCACAATAATTATAACTTACCAAAAGGTTCTACTACTTTATATAATTTAGTATAACCATCAATCTTATAATGATCAATATCAATATTAGTTAACTAAAAAAATAAAATTATGTAATTAAATATTAATGTAATAAAAGAATTAATAAAAAGTAATAATAAAAATAATAAAAATTAAGAATTAAAAATAGAAAGTTGACCAACCTCTATTCCAAATTGTTTTACATCTAATAAAACTTGGATCCTTATTTTATCTTCAACACTCATTAACGAAGTATTATCATCAAGCGTATCATTGCTAACATTATTTTTTGAAAATAATGAGGATGCAAGACTTCTAGTACCTTTACTCTTCCTTTTCATTATTTTAGAACTTTCCTCGGTTTTTTTCAAATTAGATAATAAATCATAAACAGTATTATAATAACTATAAGAAATAATAAAGGAAAACAAAAATTAAAGGTTATTATTAGTGAGAAGGATTAAAAAAAATAAAAACATATAGAAAAGGTTCAAAATGAAATTACCGCATAGATACTGCATTTCCAACACTGTAACACCATTCTTGTCGTCTGTCAACACTAAGAATAGATCTATTAACGTGACAAAATGTTGCAAGTGGTTTAATAATATGTGGAACAAAATATGATGCTTCAGTAGGTGGTTTAGTATTTGGTTGTCTATACTGAGTAATAATACTACGAATGAGACGTAAATTATCGGTACAACGATTTGTAAGAATAAATGTAATCTTTTGCGAAAAGTCAGGTAAACCTAATTTCAAGGATGATAAAACGCTAACTATACTCTCTACATAAAAATATTAAAAATAAAATTTTATAAAATTAGAAAATATGTAAATATGAATTTTTTTTTTTAATAAGTTAAAAAAACAAAAAACCTTCTATAATAGGTAAATCAGTCATAGATTCCGGTAATTTATTGACAATTCGTCCATAATAGAATTCTTTTATCTAGAAAAAAAAATAAAGATTAATTGTTTATATATATTCAATAATTTATAAATTAATAAAAAAATAAAAAATAATAAAAACCTTCATCGTTATGTTTTCAATATCATGCGCCACAATAGTCAAACGTTTCAATAATAAATCATCTTGTGCTTCATTGAAAGCATTATTATTACCATTCGGTGCCGGACTGCCTACTCTACCTCCCGAATTACTTGATGAAAGTATACCATTAGTATTTGACTAATAAACGTTAAATAATAATTTAATAAATTTTAATAAATAAATAATTATATTTTATTATTTAATATATATATTTTATATCTTGATTGAAATTAATAACAAAGGAAAAATTTCTTACCCCTTCATTAATATTATGACCATTAGCTTCGATTATTAATTCAGTCAATACCGGCATTAACCAATTTTTATATCTTTGTACTAGCTAAGTCAAATAAAATCAAAATAAATAAAAATTCTTCACATAATAAAGAAATAAAAGAGGAAGAGAAAAAAGAAAAAAGAAAAAAGAAAAAAGAAAAAGAAATTTTGTTTAATAAATCAAATCACCTGCAATGTTAATTTCCAAAATCGATGTGATAGTCCATAAATAAATACATCATCAGCCCAACATCGTTCTATTGCGGAAAAGATTGATTTACTGGCTAGAAGAATTAATGATTTGGGGTCTTTTTAAAGATTTGAATAATTAAATTAATCAATAATTATATAATAATTAAATAAATCATTGAAAGACAAATAAAGACAAGTTAAGATAAGATAAAAACCTTGTGAATCAATAAATCCATCAACAGGAAATTCCAATCCCGAGTTCAATACTTCTTCTACTTGTGAAGATATTTCTTTAAAACGAAGTTGAAAATATACGGGTAATTGCCATCGTTTCATGAATTCCACGTAAGATGGATGATTTCGTAAAAATAATAGGGATTTTCTGGAAGTACACATGCTTTCTATGCTTAGTACAAAGTTCATTGATATCGTGTAATTCTAGAGAATTTTAGATTTTTTTTTTTTTTTTTAAAAAAAAAAAAAGATGCGATAAAAAATAAAAAATTAAAATAAAATATATTAAAAAGATTGACCTAATTTATAATGAACATCTAAACGTGATCAATTAAATAATCAATTAAATATCAAATGATCTATTAAAAAAAATATATTACATAATTTTATTAAAAAATGAAGATTTAATACCTTATGAAAAACATTCGGATTACCGGAATTAAAAATAATCGGTATTTTCTTTGTTATCGAATCAACCACTTCAGTCCATACAGAATTAACCAATATTTCAAAACTAGTTCCTTTAAGAATTTTCTTGGTGATTTCCAATAATATAAAACATTCATTATTTATAAAACTTTTTATTCTATTGTACATAAGAGCCAACGGTTCTTTTTGATATGCATAGGTGAAGTATGAATTTGGGTGATGAGAATTTATTTGATTAATAAAATTGTGGAATATTTGTTGTGAAGAATTATTATTATTATTATAATTAAAATTATTATTATTATAATTAAAATTATTATTATTATAATTAAAATTATTATTATTATTATTATTATTATTATTATTATTATTGTTATTATCAAGGATTGGTCGAAGAATTGTCTAATTACCGTACACGTTTACATTATATTATATGTGTTAGAAAATGTTAAGAAAAAAATGAACAAGTTGAAAAAAAAGAAAGATGGAAAAAACATACTTCTTGTATAAATGGTACTATTAATTCTTCTCTAATAACTTCTTCAGCTGATTTAGTTTGATCAATTAATGCATATGTTCGTAATATTTGTGTTAAAGTTTCTTTGGATGATGAAATATTTGAATTATTTTTCACCATGGATAAAGCTGATCGAAGAGCAGATGATAAATTGATACGAAGTGTTTCTTTAATTCTAGTAATCCGCTACACAAAAAAAAAAAAAAATCCACCCAAAATATCACTTTTAAAATAAAAATTAAATTCACAAAATCATATTAACAATTAATTCATATTTATTATTATTTTTTTACGTACCCAATCAATATTCTCTACAAAAGGTAAACCTTTTCCTTTGCTAACTAGATATTGCATTTGATTATATTCAATGGCTACTCGCTCAATTTGTTTCACATTGCTTCCACTAATAAATTAATTTTAATAATAATAATAATAATAATAAATTTATAAAGAAAAAAAGAAAAAAATAAATTATTAAATAATTATTTCATAAAAAAAAAAATTAATTAATTCAAGAAATATAAAAACCTTTCATCGGGTGAATGAGTAGATGTACTTTCACTACTAATTAATAATAGATTTTCAACTTTTCGAACTGATTCATGAATATTAATAAGTAATTGCAAAGCTGCCTGATACAAGGATGCAATAAAAGAAAACAATTAAGCCTTTAATAATAATAATAATAATAATAATCAATTAATAAAATTATTAACTAATCAAAACATAAAAAAATTTTTTTTTTGTATTATACCTTCTTTTCTCGAATGGAAGTTCTATGAAATAATTGATTTTCTAATGAATCAATTACATTTTGAAGATTGGTTCGAACTTCCTAAAATATTTAAAAATTCTAAAATTCTTTAATGATCAATTACTTACATTAATAATTACCCCCATTAAATTACTCAATTAAATTACTCTTCAATTAAATTATTCCTTAATCTCAATTAAAATACTCCTCAATTAAATAACTCAATTAAATTGATAAACACCTGAACTTCTTCTCTCATTTTTCCCAATGGTCTTGCTACTTCTTCAATGACTTTATCCACACCTTTCAAGTTGGTTGAAAGATCTACAAAACTCGCGTAATCTCTATTAATCATTTCTACTAACTCACTTTTGAGACTTTTTAAATGTGTAGTTAATTCCTTTTTTAATTCATCCAGAGTAATATGACGTCTATTTGCTAAAAAACTATCACTACTGAAATCTGGAGTAGAAAACATTTCCCGTTGAAGTGGTGGAGGAAATGGTAAAGGTGTTCGACCAATATTATTCAATTGAGAGATTGCATTATTATCATTATCAATATCATTATCATTATTTGTCAGTGTTATCGTTTCAAAAGTTTTTGCTTCATTCGGATCACTAGTATAAATTGTAAGACTAGGTGAAGTACGAGTTTGAAATTTTTGATCATTATTTTCTTTATTTGAAGAATTGGAAGCAGTCATTGGGTGTTAACTTTAACAAAATAAAATTTCAAATAGGAGCTTAAATTTCATATATACTGTAGTTTCTTAACAATGGTGGTGTGACATGACCAAATGTGACTTTAGTGGCTTTAAAGACCATTGCCACGTTGCCACGTTGCCACCTTCTCGAAATTTTATACTTGTACATTCGAGAGAAATAGAAAATATCACTGTAAATGTATTCAAGAACAAATAAGTACATAAATATCATCATAAATATTGATTTTGCATCTGTTCATTACGAAAGTCCTTATTAAAAATTAAATTAATACAAAAAAAAAATAAAAATAAAAATAAATAATTTAAAAATAGCATTTTTAAACAATGAATAAAAAAAATAATCATTGTTCGTAAATAATAACTAAAATAAAAATTTTAATGAAGAAAAGCGCCTTAAAAAGTATATATATATAAAAAAAAAAGAATTAAATTTCGAACTGTAAAACAAGGAATTTGCCTTGTTGTTTGGAAAAAAAAATTTTTAAAATTAAAAATTACTGCAGTCCAGTAAATAATGGCTCACTTAACAAGGCTAGGAATGAGATTAACAACAAGACTAACATCAAAACGTTTTTACTCTTCTGCCAAAAAATTAACAATTGGGTTAATACCAGCTGATGGTATCGGAAAAGAAGTAATTCCTGTATGTAAAAATATTTTGTATAAATGTTCGAATATTTAGTTATGTGTGTGTGTGTGTTTCATCCTTTATTTTAGTAGTTATTCTTTTAATAATAATAATAATAATAATAATAATAACAATAATAGGCCGCAAGGCAAGTTCTAGAGGCTCTTTCAAGTAGTTATAGCAATAGCCCGAATTTTAATTTTATTGAACTAAACGCAGGTTTCGAACACTTTCAAAAAACTGGAACAGCTTTACCTCAAGAAACATTAGATAGATTAAAAAATGAATGCTCTGGAGCACTTTTTGGAGCGGTTAGGTAAAATAATAATTGGTAGAAATAAATCACGTGGAATTTGTCAACTGAATACCGTTCTGTATATATGTATAAATAATTAGTTCACCTTCCCACAAAGTCGCTGGATATTCATCTCCTATCGTTGCTTTGCGAAAAAATCTAGATCTTTACGTGAACGTGAGACCTGTAGTTTCAGTAGCATCAAATAAAGATCCTAATCAAAAACCTATCGATATTTTAATTATCCGAGAAAATACAGAATGTCTAGTAAGAACATATATATAATATATTTTTATGAACGAGATAATTTAAGTTACAGTCAAATTCTCATACTTTAAATAATTTTTAAATATTTCTTTGAATAATAATAATAATAATAATAATAATAAACAAGTACATCAAACAAGAACGACAAACCGTAGATGAGAAAACAGGTTTAAAAGTTGCATGGGCAGATCGAAAAATTTCGGAATATGCATCACGTAGATGCGGTAAAATGGCATTTGAAATGGCATTGAGCAGAGATAAAATTCGACAAAGCTTACGATTATGGGATACCAGACCAAAAGTAACTATTGTTCATAAATCTAATGTGTTAAGTATCACAGATGGTTTATTCCGAGAGACTGTAAGAGGAGTTAAAGAAAATGATTCCATGTATGACGGAGTTGATATGGAGGAACAACTTGTTGATTCTATGGTGTAAGTATTTATTTAATTTTTTTTTTTTTTTTCAAAAAATATATATTCGAATAATTAACAATTAAAATGTCATCATCATGTCATTAAAGATATCGTCTCTTTCGAGAACCACATGTTTTTGATGTCGTCGTTGCACCAAATTTGTATGGTGATATTATAAGGTGAATTTCAGTTAAATTTCTTATTATAAAAGGAAATCTCACTTATGAAGAATATATCATTTCAAATTTAATTTCATAGCGATGGAGCTGCAGCATTAGTTGGAAGTTTAGGTGTTGTTCCAAGTGCGAATATTGGTGACAATTTCGTAGTTGGAGAACCAGGTAAAAAATTCATATCAAAAATCAAAATTAAACATCTCAAATATTATTTTCACAGAAAATTAAAAAATTACTTATATATTATTTTAATAATAAATTTTTTGTTAATATATATATTATATAGTACACGGTTCGGCTCCAGATATTGCAGGACAAAATAAAGCCAATCCAATCGCAGCAATTCGTAGTGCAGGATTATTGTTAGAACATTTACAGTTACATACACAAGCGAGCGCAATTTATAATGCTGTAGATGATGTACTAAAAACTGGAACATTTTTAACACCTGATTTAGGGGGAAATTCTACAACTCAACAAGTTACTGATGCTATTATCAAGTCTCTCTTAAAATAAGTAAATAAACTTTACATTAATTAATATATTTATTGATATTAATTGATATTAATTGATATTAATTGATAATATTATTAATTGATAATCTTGATTGTTACTAAATGGAATGATTTTAAATGAAATTCTCTTTATCTTGCATAAACCACAATAATATCTAAAAAGATATTTACCGGATTCACATGACATGACATGATAAACACCTTTCTCAAAAAACTTTTTAATTATTGGCTTCTCTGTGGGTTTGCTACTTTTCTTACAGATGTACCAAGCATTTCATCTTCAACAGTTTCCGCACCAGTTTGAACTCTGCCAGCCGAACCTCCTGAAATTTATTATTTATTATTTGTTGATATTTATCAATTTATTGATTTATAATGATTTATACTGATTTATAATATGGATAGTAAACCGAAAATGAACCTTGTTTTGGTTTACCCTGCTCATTCATATCTCTTAATCTTTCAGCTTCACGTTTCTCAACTTCTTCCGGAGTAGGTTTTGGCAATTTTGTGTCCCTAGGTTCGATTTTATCACCTTGAAAAGTTGCTTGCATTTTTTTTTCAAAAAAAAAAAAAAATCTGTCGTTTATAATTTCGTTTTTTTTTTTTTTAAATCAAAAATTTTAATGATTAATGATGACTTCTATATTCTTTTGGATTCACGTTAAAAGTTAACCTTTATTAGTTAAGAAATATTCTTAAAATAATTACGTTAATTTGTAGTCAAATTTCTAGCCACGTTTGAATTATGAAAACATTAATGTATTATGAATGACGAATTATAATATGTTGTGCAAAGATAATTCAACTTTTTAAATTTAATTTTAAAATATTTCATCATTTTTACGAAATTTCTAAGCATATATAGAAAAGAGGCGGAAGATCTTATGAACTATCTAATTGGCAAAGGTTTCGGATATCTAAAAGCAAGCGTAGCAATGGAAGGATCATCAATAATGGAAAGATAATTTGACACACACACCCAAATTACAAGTCAAAGAAGGGGAAAAAAGCAGTTGCTAAAATAATTAGTGTTAGTGTTTTCTTTTAAAAAGAATTCTAAAAAAAAAAAAAAAAAAAAGTCTAACTTTTTGAAGGAACCATTTTATGTAGTGATCTAGACTAAAGATTGTTTAAGAGAGTTATATATTTTTCTTAAATTAGTTTAGAATCTTTTACCTAAACGAGGAATGCTCGAATAAAGTTTAGGCTTGAGAAGAAATTATTTAACCTTATGACATGTACAAGAAACGTTATTGCTTATGTAAGTTCCGTTCACGGTGTGGTGCATTGTTCCATAAACATTTTTCATTTTAAATTATTTAAATTCCAAAATTGTATAAAATATTTCTTTCCCAAAGAATCGATTTTTTTTTTAATTGCGTATAGGAAATGAATAACAATAAATAAATAATCATTTATCATTTGTTAAACTTGTAAATAAAAAATTTAAAATACATTGTCATTTATACCTCAATAACATTTCTAAATATAATAAAGATTTACTCTTACTAAAAACACGCATCCGAGAATAATTTTTGTGGGGCATCTTCTCCGATCAATAGCATAAATTTTTAAAATTGATAATTTATGAATACATATATATAATATATATATAAAACTCAGAAAATTTTAATTCCCACAATTTAATTTTTTTTTTACATTTTATTTATTGAAAATTTTATTATTGTTTTTAAAATGGGTCAATTTCATAGTAACAGTAGTAATAATGGCCATAAAAATAAACCAAATAATAATATGTTTGGTAGAAATTATTCAATTAATAATAGTATTAATAATTCAGATAGAATTGCATTAGGATTAGAAAGAAAGAATTTTACATATATCGAGAGTTTTTCATTACAGAGTACTTTCGAGACTTTATGTAAAATTGATGAGAATGGAGTTGGATACATTAATGAAGAATCTTTTATGGTGAATTTTTTTATTATTTTATTTATTTATTTAAAAAAAAATTTTTTTATATTATTTATTGTTATATTATTATTATTGTATTATTTATTATTATTATATTATCTTTTTTTTCTATAAATAATTGTGAAATGGGAATATAGAGTTATATAGGATTTCCTGAATCAATTGGAATTGGTCCAATTATTTATCGTTCATTTACTTATCTGGCTAGTTATCCTACTTGCATACATGATAATAGAAGATTACTTAATTATAACGGACTTTTGATAGCTATTTCCGTTTATTGTAACAAAATTAAAGAAGTAATTAATGAAGATCGAATAAAACTTCTTTTTGACTCCTTTACTACCTCTACTCATCAAGTAAAAGAAAAAGAACCTCCAAACGCGTCATCTTCTTTAAAATTCGATCCGGACAATGATGAAGATTTCTTAAAACTTATGACTCAAGCTGAAAATGAATCAAAAAAAAATGTTTCCAAAGTTACGTGTCAAGATATGTTATCAATACTTACCGGACTTATTTGGTTAATGACTAGTGAAATGATAATTTTTTCAAATTTGAAACCTGAACGATTAACTTTAATCATGAAAGAATTGACATCACCCAAACATATTAATAAAGTTTATAAAATTGCTAGTAAAATAGTTGAATCAATGGCACGTTGTGATTCGAATTCAAGAAAGCTTAATTCAGAAGAAATATTAAAAGAATCAATTAGTTGGCCAATATTTAAAGAATTTGTAAAACGAAATACACCAAATATATTTCGAGGATTTTCAACATTTTTCTATACACAATTTTGTATTGGACAAACACTTTCGGCGCAACGTAGTGATACGTTATTCCTTGGAACTAATTTAAGTTATTTACCAACATTAGATAATCCTTCAGAATTATTCAATCATATTAATATGACATTATTATTATGGATGTTACCAGAAAAGATAATTTTAAATAGTGAATGGAATTGTTTGTATTCAGGAAGCAAACATGGATTTAGTATGAGTCGTTTCTCAAGTCATGTGTTTAAATATCCTGGACCTACAATAATGTTAATTCGGGCTGAAATATTACCACTGAAAAGAAGGTCATTTAATAATAACAATAATTACAACAACAATAACAACAACAACAACAACAACAACAACGACAACAACAATAATAATAATAATAATGATAATATAATTTTGTTGGGAGCTTATATATCAAATCAATGGCATTCAGCAAATTCATCAAAAAATTGTTTTGGTTCAGAGGAATGTTTCTTATTTGAATTATATCCAACATATGAAATATCTCCGGCTTCCAAGAAAAATTCCAATTATGTTTATTATAATTCATCAGTGGGAATTGGATTTGGTGGATTAGCAACTTCGGGATTAACTTCCAGTAAAATTGTTGGTATGGAAGAAAATTCTTTTGTTTTGCAACTTGATAATACTTTACAATTCGGAAAATATCGAATGGATCCATATCGAAATTTAGCTCCTACTTATTATTTATCAATGGTTAGTAAAATGGACTTAACGTCACATATATATATATATATATATATATATATTTATATATTTATTTATTTAATGTAGTATTTTTTGATATTACGTTACGTAAAGTTATTAAAAAAATTCATTTACCACTAAATGCAGACACGAGAATTTATAGATATTGATTTCGAAGTGTTAGGTTCGTATTATTACTAAAATGTTATTCTTATTAAAATTCTTATTACTAAATATTCTTATTAAATTATATTAATATTTCAACTTTTTCTTTTGTTCGATAGAAATTGAAGTTGTAGGAACAGGTGGACAAATTTCAAAAGAGAAATTAGAAAGGGAACAACGATGGGAAGAAAGTGAAGCGGCCAAAAGGAGTAAGAGTCTTAATCTTAGAAGAAGTTCATCCAGTAAAGTTGATAAAGAAATTCTCAAGGTACGAATTATATTATTAAATTACATATATAAATATATATAATTCAATTTAAAAAATATAATTCTATATTTAATATAATTAGCGTGCTGGTATCATCGATATAGAAAGTCGGTCAAGATTTGAACGGACAAAATCTTCCATCATTTAATTTTTTTTTATTCTTCGATGAACAACATAATGAACATTAAAAAAAAATTGTACGTATGAATGTACTATATTTTAATATATAATTTGTATAATTTATATATAAAATTCATAAATTTATAATTTAAATAAAATAAAATAAATGAAATAAAATATATAATAATTTTTTTATTTTTCCAACTTTTTTTTTATTATTATTACTGTCCGTATTTCTGTTTTTTGTTTTGTTTTTGTCTTAATTTCTTTAATCAATTTTAATTATTCTAAAACACAGTTCTAAAACACAGTTCTAAAACAAGCTTAATGAATTTCAAATTTCCTAAATAATAATTAATCAAAAGAATTCTTATTTAGTTTAATCTTTTTTTTTATCTTCGAACATTTTCAAAATTTTGAAGATAAAGAAAGTCATATATTGAATATATTGAATGAAAAATTAGTTGTTGAAATTGTAGTAATAAAAAAAATTTTTTGGGGGTTTTTTTTTTTTTTTTTTTTTTATATATAAAAAAATGCAGAAAGGTAAATAATAAAAATGAATGAGTAAAATTATGATAAATTTATGTATAAGATCAAACTATTTACATATTTTCAAAAGAAAAGAATGTTCATTATGTTTTAAAGAAAATTTGAATTCTATTCTATGATAAGATTTGAATGTCTTTAAAAAATTTAAAATAAATATATTATCTATATGTATTTAGTTCTTTGGGGTTTGAGATAATCCCTATAGCAACACTTATATCATCACTTTTTCCACCTTGATAATATAACCCTTCTTCCATTGCTTGACTGGCAAATGGACTTGGAGTATTAAGATCTTCACTAGCATTCTTTGCTCGACAAGTTATAGCATCTGATATTACTTGTGGTCTAGCATTAAAGGTTCCTTTCTTAGGACAAATAAATTTATAAAGTTCATCTAATAAATCTTCCTCGAAAACGTTGTCGAAGAGACCATCGGAACCTAATATAACTATATCTCCCTTTTGAATTTTAATTTTATATGATTTAGCCTTTTGAGGTGTATCACATGATCCAGTTCCCAATTGAAATGGAAAATTGAAACTATGTTGAAGTATTTCGCTACGAAATATAACATCTCTTCCACGAATGACGATAATAGATGAATCACCAAGATTAACTATTCTTAATTCATCTTCACGTAAAATTGCGATCAGCGCAGTTGTGGATCCAATAATTCCCTAAAAAATTATTAATAATAAATAGAATAAAAATAAATTAAATTAGTTTCTTTATTCCTTTACTGATCTAGTATCCCACTTCCTTCCTTCGTTAGACAAGTATCATAGAGAGAGAAGAAGAAGAAGAAAAGATAAATTACCTCAATTTGACAATCGCGTAAACACTGATCATAACTATCTTGCAAAATATCAACTGGATTGACATCATTATAATGATAATATTTTTCATTATCAACATTATCATATTTATCTAACTCTAAATATGCATAATGCATCAATTTTCTAGAAAAAGCAGCCGAATCAGCAACTAAATATATAAATATAAAAATGTATAAATATATATATATATATAAATGGATATTTTTAAAATGATGTAAATGAAAAAAAAAAATGACAAAAATATGATTAAAAAATAAAAATTTAATAATAAATTAAAAACTTACCGATATTATCATTTTTTGAAACATCACGCCATCGCCATCCACCAATTCCATCCGCCACACCTAATGAATCATATCTCTGGAAGAAACTATCTTGACCGCATCCTACACTAAAATATTTTCCATCCGGAACAGTGGAAACTAATTGTTCGGCACATTTTGGAATGCCCGAAGCTCCGTGACAAAAAGAATAAATGATATTACGAGGGGAATAGAAGGTTTTTTCGAATAATTCCAAATCTAATAAATTATGATGATGAAGGTGGGATGTTATAGGTTTATCATAATATGCTTCAAGAAATTTTTGTGATTGAGTAGAATGAGGTTTATTTGATTTTTCGGTTACTTGAAAATTTGATGAAAGATTACTATGAAAAGAACGAACGAAACAATTACGAATGACATCTTTTTTTAACGTTTTCGTAATATCATAATGATTTATATGATTTGGAATAAATGGTGAAGTTTTGGTATTAAAATGTCTAAAGGTGGTAGGTCGCGAAGTAGTCAAGTTGCGTCGAAATAATGGAAGATAATTATTAAGGAATTTATTCATATTAGATGTTAAAGTATTCATCAAATATTTGGTGAATATCTGGTGAATATCTGGTGAATATCTGATGAATATCTGATGAATATCTGGTGAGTATCTGATGAATATAACGAATGTAGAATATATCTAGTAATAAAATAAGTATATTTGGGTATAAAGAAAATTATTAAAAGAAGAAAAAATAAATCTGAATCGAAAAAAAAAAAAAAATCAAAAATTCGAACTTCGAAAGCGACTTTTATAAATAGTTAATTATTGATCAAATTGATAAAGATAAATAAATAAAATAGGTAATGTATTACACATTCATTATTTATAATTATTATAATTGAGTGGAGAGATAAGGAGATAGGTAAAATTCAAATTTCAAATTTAAACGTATTGACCTCTTGTACCTGTGAATTTTTGTAATGCATAAATTGCATAAATCTGTAATCTGTTGATCTTTACGCAGTACTTGAAAGAAAAATGTTCAAATTTATCCAATAAATTTCCAATAAATTATCTAAATAAATTATTTAATAAACTACTTCAAAAATTATTATTTATTTTGTTCTAAAATTCTAAAACAATAAAACAAAGCCAAAAAACAAAAGAAAATGGATAATCTTTTACGGAATTAATCGTAAGTTCGGCTGAAGTCGTGACCTAAGAAGATAACGTGGGTAATAATTTTTCATAAAATAGAAATGAATGAATGAAGAAATCTGGTTTTTTATTGACGCTCCTTTTTGATCTACGTGACTTAATAAAGAAATCAATAGGTTGAATCCAATACTCTGAATTGAAAAACAATGGGATTATTGTACACGTTGATTACAAATTATAAATGTGATTAGAATGTGATCTCATTTCTAGTGTAACCGAAAAGCCAAATTAATATCTCTTTCATCGCATCATATATTCTCATTCATATTATATATTTCTTTCATATCTCTTTCTTTTCGTAAATCTTTCATCAAACCAATAAAAGGAAATAACTGGAAATAATATAATCATATTAAAAAAATATGTCAATATCAAAATTTTGGGCAACATTAGCTCATGATATTGAAAGTTTAATAAAAGATGATAATAATTTATCAGAATGTAATGTTATCATTGAAGTTGGTCAATCTCCAAATTTTCAACGATTTCATGCTCACTCAATAATTTTGAGAGCTAGATCACCATATTTTCGTGCGGCACTTTCAACAAATTGGGCTAGAAGAGATGGAGATTCGATAATATTTTCTAAACCTAATATATCTCCAAAAGTATTTGAGACAATTCTTCAGTGAGTGTTTTTATTGTTAATAATATTTTAATTAATTATTTATTTTTAATTTATTTTAATTTTATTTTAATTTAATATTCATATAAATCATTCATATATTCACATTTATATTCATATAAATCATTCATATATTCACATTTATATTCATATTCATATAAATCATTCATATATTCACATTTATTTTCATATAATTCATTCATATATTCACATTTATATTCAAATAATTCATTCATATATTCACATTTATTTATTTATTAATTTAGATTTATATATAGTGGAAATGTTTCATTAAATGATAGAAGTATAACGGATGCTCTCGAACTTTTAGCAGCAACCGATGAATTATTGTTAACAGAATTATCGGAACATGTTCAAGAATATCTTCTTCTTCAAGAAGTCGGTTGGTTAAAAGAGAATATAATAGTACTTTGGAGAAAGATACATCAATATGAATCATGTCGAAAATTACAAGAATATTGTTTACAATTAATTTGTAAGGAACCTCGATACCTTTTTGATTCGGAAGAATTTTTAACAATGGAAGAATCATTATTTTTACCATTCTTAAAATTGGATAATTTACAAATTGAAGAAATTGAAATTTGGAATCACATAATTCGTTGGGGGATATCACAAAATCCATTATTAAATTCAATTCATATAAGTAATTGGACTACCGAAGATTTTGATACGTTGGCTAAAACATTAAAAGATTGTTTACCACTTATTGGATTTTCTCAAATTTCTTCATCAGATTTCTATGATAAAGTATGGATTTATCGAAATATTTTACCTCCAGAAATATTAGAAGAAAGTATGAGACATTATTTAAAAACTTCATATCCACCTAAACCAGTTATATTAGCGAAAAGGTTACAATTTAATTCCGCAATAATTCGACCATGTCACGCAGCGTTACTTTCAAGTTGGATTGATAGATTAGGACAAAAAAGATATTTATATGAAGAAATTCCTTATAGATTTAAACTTTTGGTGAGAGGGAGTAGAGATGGATTTGATTCTAATACATTTCATGAAAGGTGTAATGAGAAAGGGAAAACGGTAGTGATAATGAGAATTCAGGATACGGGAGAAATTATTGGAGGATATAGTCCAATCATGTGGAATACGAAAGAAGGATATTGGAATACGGAAGATAGTTTTTTATTTACATTTGGACAACGAGGAATGGTGGAAGATGCCAAATTAAGTCGAGTGTCAAGGCAAAGATCATATTATGCCATAAGATTTAATGGAAAAGATTATGGACCATGTTTTGGGGATAAAGATCTTTCAATGAAAGGAAATTTTAATCAAGAAGAAAGTTGTTCTTGTCAAAAAGATGATTATCTTGATAGTATTACTGAATCAACAACATTTTCGGTGGATGAATATGAAGTATTTGAAGTTTATAGAAAGTAAAGTTATTATCATTATTATTCTTACATTATCAATTAATTAATTAATTAATTATTATTCTTACATTATCAATTAATTATTATTCTTTACATTATCAATTAAACATTCATTATTTCTAATTAATTACATAAATAATAAATAATATTAATAAATAAATAAATAATATAAGTATTCTTTAAATTTTTATATAGAAATTTTATCTTTAAAATAATTAAAATAAATAATTAATATAAATAATTAATTAAAATAATTAAATAAAATAATTAAATAATTTAATTAGAATAAAGAAATAATTATTAAATAAAATACTTAAAAATAAAATAATTAAAAAATAAAATAAAATAAAATATAAATAAAATAAATTTATATTAATATAATGGAATATTATATTATTGTTTTCATACAACATAAAACAATAATAAAGTTGGCCACTAACTAAATATATTATATTATATTATTTATTTTATTTTATTTTATCATTTCTTTTATTTATTTATTTTCTTTTATTTCTTATGAACTACTTCAGAAACATCTTCCATTTGTAATTCTAAATTTTCTAAATTTTCTTGATCTGGATCCATCATTGAACTACTTTTTAAAACATTCATAGTTCCCGTTGTTGTTGGTGATGATGATGATGAAGTAATATTTCTTAATTTATTAAATCCTTCTCCAAATACTTGGGAAATAGAATTCTTTGCATCATTAAATGCCTGACCAAATTTTATTCCGGTAGTATCTGTAGTGGTGGAAGTGGTGGTAGTGGTAGTTGGTTTAATAGGAGGAGAATCAAAACTAATAGCATGCCAATCATCCATTTTTTCATCTTTATTTTTATTCTTTCTTCTTCTTCCTCCTTTACCTTCCTCCCCTTTGCCTTCCCTCTCTTTACCTTCATCTTCAAATCCCCATTCCACTTTTTCAACATCATCTTCTTCTTCATCATCATCATATTCAAGATATAATTCATCATCATCTTCTTCTTCTTCTCCTTCTTCTTTAGATTCACTTAATAATAATACTCCATAAATTAATGTTGAAATTCCTATTGCCACTAATGCTAATACCCAATAAGGATAAGCATTTAATTCATCATAATATATTATTGAATTTATTAGTCCTAAAGCTGTATAAAATCCAAAAAAGATTGGAACCACTAAGACGGAATCACTTATTTTTAGACCGACATTTAGACAGTAGACCTTAAATGAAATCAAAATGTGAGATGAGATGAAATGAAAATGTAAAGTTTAGGAAGAAATATATAAAAAAAAAAAAAAAAAAGTTACTTGTAACACGGCAATTATTGCTAAAGTTGATATAATAAACCAACTGGTTATATCCGTAAATTGACTATGATGTTCAACGAATGAAGTAACAACTAATATTGTCCTACATAATTTAAAAAAAAAATTACCATTAATAAAAATACAATTAACAAATATTTATCATTTTACAATTAACAATCAATTAATAAATGACAATCAATTAATAAATAACGATCAATTAATAAATAACAATTAAAATATTAAATAACAATTAAAATATTAAATAACAATTAAATATTAAATAATTATTAAATATTAAATATAAATATTATCTTCTTCTTACCCACTTTTAGCCAAAAGTAAAGATTGACTTGCTAATAAACCACCAACTGCAGCCATAGAAACGCCAACATATTTTTTTAATTTATCCATTTTAATATTTTTAAGATAAATATTTTTTAATTTTCTATTTTCATCACTTAAAATCCAATAAATATAAATTGTTACTATGAATAATGAAAATGTGCATATATTTAATACTGAAAAATAAGCAATGAATACAGGTCGTATCATTAATGATTTTAATTGTGTTATTGTAAGATGTTCTAATATTTGGAATATTTGAAATATTTATAATATTTATAATATTTGGAATATTTATATATAATATTTAAAATATTTGGGATAATCATAATATTTGTATTTGGAATAATCATAATTATTTGTATTTGGAATAAAGAAAATAAAAGAAAATAAAAGAAAATAAATAAATAAGTAAATAAATAAATTGTATACAAAATAATCATATATACTAACATACCATTTGATTTACCCATCCCACCAAATCCTACAATCCAAACTACACTAACTATAATAACAAGAGTTCCTAAAATATCTTTTCTTGTAATTTCTGTTCCAATAAAAGCTCTAGCAAATATAAAATTAAAGATTAAAGATATTGATCCTAGTGGAGCTACCCATTGTGCTTTAAGAAAATCTTTTAACATGGGAAATAATTATATATAAATGTGATATAATATAAAATGTGAGATTTAATTATGTGAAATATAATATATGAATGAGATATAATATATGAGATATAAAATAAATTAACATACTTAATGCAATTGTACTACCAACAACTTGGGAAACAATATAAATATATAATCCAAAATGCCAAAAAGGTCTACCACATTCATTAACTTGATCTCTTAATGGCTTCGAAGAATTTTTGACATGATCTAATTGAAGTAAATTTAATCCTAATGCATTCATTATAGATGCTGTTAATGAAACTAAGAATCCTATTGTTACATTTAATGCTTCTGGTATGGCCATTTTTTACTTTTTTTTTTATGTGATATCACTTTTACTTTCACTTTTTACTCCACTTTTTAATTTCACTTTTCACTTTTCACTTTTAACTTTTACTTTATTTTCACTTTTTATTCTCTAATCTAATTATCCGAACTATTCAAATTCAAATTATTCAAAAAAAAAAAAATCTGAAATAAATATATAAAATAAGTATAATGAAAAAAGAATTATTAATTAAGATTATTTGTTGGCTGAGTTGATGATGATAAATTAAATAAGAATTGTTTTATTTAAAAAATAATTCAATATTCAATATTCAATATTCAATATTCATTTTCAAATTTTCATGACATGAAAAAGCATTTATATATATAAAAATTATCGTTGTGGCTTAATTAGCTCTAAAAAATAAAATATATACACAAAACGAAAACAAACAAAACAAAAAAAAACAAAAACAAAAAAAAATATATGAAAAATATATGAAAATACAAAAGAAAATAAATTTGGCTTAGATAAAGAGACGGTAATAATAAATACAATGTTGTTATATTGTAACAGTTAATAAATTGGCATTTATCCTTATTAATTATAAATCGATGAAACGAATATTTTTTTGGTGGCTATGTATAATAAACAAATAAAATTTTAAATGTATAAATTATATATGCGTGTTTAAATGAGAGAAGGCTATGTCAAAAATAATAATATATCTTATATTATTTATATAAGAGATTAATGATTGATTTATTAAAAAAATAATAAATTACCAAATAAAGTATAATAATCAAATCTTTTATTTCACGTCACATAAAAACAAATCACTACTTTTAATCATATAAATTACAGATTACCTGTATTGTATCGGAACTTTTCCATTAGGTAATCTAATTGAAAGTTTTTTCAAGGTTATTTATAAAATGGAGTTCCATATTTGATGATTATTTAACGCTGTTATTATTATTATTACTACTGTATTATTTAAATTAATTTACTTTAATAATATGTGAATGCTTGTATTTCTAAAAGTGAATTTTTTGCATTTGAGGATTGAGTATTGATGTGTTGATAAAGATGAAATGATAATTGATACTGTAATGGTGGTGTTAAAAATATAATAAAGGTTATTTATTAAAGTAATCTATTATTATTATTGAATTTATACTTTCGTCATAACGCACATATATGTACATTATATTAATTGACATATTTAGCATGTAGCGTAATGTATTATTTAATAATTATTAATTCTATTAATATATATAGAAAATTAAATATTCATATACAACCTTAAAAACAAAAATACAGGTATTGCGAAAAAAAAATCTAAAATATTTCATTAAAAGTAATAACAGAAAAAGTTTTTATTATTTCTTCGTTAATGTCTCGGAAAATCAAAATCTTCAATAAATTACTATGTAATAATTGTTTAAAATTTAATTTTGTTAATTCTTTTTAGTAAAATCTTATTACAAAAAATTGTTAATATAATATTAAATATATGGAAGGAAATATTAAGAAAATTATATAAATATTTTTATTAAATAAATTACTTTTACATTTTCTTTATTTTCTTTACTAAATTAAACGAAAAAAAAAAAAAAAAAAAAATTGACAAGTTAACAAAATTAAAAGTTACAATTATTTTTAAATTTATCTACAAATAAATAATAATAATAATAATAATAATAATAGTAATTAATTAATTAATTAATTAATTGCTTTTTCTTTATGTGTGGTGGTGTTGGTGTCGGTGTTGGTGGTGTTTTGAATTAAGTTCATTATTCGGTTAATTTCCCACATTAATAAACTTCCAATAGATGGAACATTCAAACTTGTAATATTTAAACCTGCTCTTAAATGATCCGGGAATGTTCCTGACTCGTATGCATCACTTACACAAAGTGCAACACGTTTAGGAAATCCTATTTCTTTTTCTCTTGTATGCCAAAAGTTAAATGGTGTATCGATTAGATTTTTATCTTCAAATTTTTTTACTTTTCTAATAATCTTTCTATCCGGTGTATTAATAAATTGAGGATCAGTACAAATACTGTGTGGTATCTTCATAGCAAACATCATATCCATTTCATTCTCTTTTAAAAATTCTGGCAATTGTTCTGGTGATCCATATATATATGGAATAGTTAAACTATAAAAATCTGAAGCTCTCTGAACAAAATCATTATATACATCCCCACATTTATTCATTAGATAAGCTGCTTGCCAACCTAATGCTCTTGCTGAACGAAGTAACATTCCAAGTTCATGTTGATCATTCACATTTTCTAAAACTAATACTCTATCAAGTTTCTCTTTAGGTGGAAATTCTACTACCGGAAATTGAAATTCAGCTACAAGTTCATGTTTCTCGGGTCTAGCCGCACTTCCCAAAATCTTACGTACCATATCAATATTCATAAGATAATACTTTTCTGCTAAAATTGCTGGTGGTCTTTCTATATAATCTAAAGCTGGTGGTTGAATCTCATATCTAGTTTTAGGTTTATAAGGTGCTGTTACTACAAGACTTTTAACCGGATATCCTTTCTTTACTAAATCTAAAATTTTCGCTTCTCCTTGAACCATAATCATTCGTTGTTCCCATCGATATTTTTTATCAGTTCGTAATTTTTCAAAATGTTGAATGACTTTATCTTGAACACCATGAAGTCGTTCATACAACTCTGGCCATGGATGTTTATACAAACTTTTCTTAGACATCGGATTTGTATATTTTTCTTTTAATTCTTTTCTTTGTGACGGGTATTTATTCCATGTTAAAAAATCACGTTCACCAAGTACAGTTTTTTCCCTTTCCCGTTCCCTTTGATCAAATTCAACTCGGGCAGAATCTCGGTTAAGATCTCTGGAAATTGTTCCTGACATTTTAAAACTAGGTTTCCTATCAAAATCGTCTTCATATCTATTTCTAGGAGGAGGATAACCATCATCTCTACCAAATCTTCTAGGAGGCGGATAATCGTCATCTCTATTTAACCTTCTAGGAGGTGGATAACCATCATCTCTACTTAACCTTCTGGGAGGACCTTGCTCATCATCCCTATTTAACCTTCTGGGAGGACCTTGCTCATCATCTCTAATTAACCTTCTGGAAGGTAGATAATCATCATCTCTATTTAACCTTCTGGGAGGCGGATAATCATCATCTCTACTTAATCTTCTTGGAGGTGGATAACCATCATCTCTACTTAACCTTCTGGGAGGACCTTGCTCATCATCCCTACTCAACCTTCTGGGAGGAAGATAATCATCATCTTGTGCTAACTTTCTAGGAGGATCATTCTCATAAATTTCATCTTTAGCCAACCTTTTCTGTTTTCTTTTATAATATTCCTCATCATCTAATTCATCTTCTTCCTCGGATAATTTTTTTTTTGGATTTTCATCAAATTCTTCTTCAAAATTATGATCAAAGCTCTCAAGTTCAAGTTTATTATGACCCATGAATTCTATATTTTCTTCTCCCATATTTGAAACTTTTTCATCTCTTTTTTCTCTACTTTCACTTAATTTCGTGGTAATTTTTGATAATCTTAACCGATCCGCAAAACTTCCGGTTCTAAATGAAGTGTTTATTGATTCTTTTTCAAAAACGTTAACAGTTGATTTTCGTGAATCATTTGGTAATTTTGATTTTACTTCCGTACTGGATACCACTTTTTTTTCAAAGAAATCCCCAATAGAGCCCTTTGGAGTTAAATTTTTTTCCGAATCTTCAGGTTTTGCAGTCTTTTTTAAATCAATTCGATGATAAATGCTTTCTCTCTCCGGTTCTTGATCAAAAACAGATTTAAAGAATCCTCCTTCCTTCTGCTGAGATTCATTGATTTGAACAGTATCATTCTGTTTATATAGACTAGTTTGACCAAATTTCGATGTAGTTGTCGGAGGTCTAAAATCGAAACTTTGACCAATCATATCTTCTTGTTGATATCTATTGTATGCTTCCTCTTCATATGACTGAGAATCATAAAGTGGCTTCATTTTCCCAAATTCGCCTTCGGTTTCCTCAAATTTATTTAGATTTTCACTCTTATTTGAGGCATGCCAAGTTTTATACGATTTATTATCATCATGTTCTTCTTCTTGTTTACCATCAGGAAATTTTGTATGGCGTAATATTCCGTATTTATTACGAATATTTCCGGTCGATGCATAATAATTTCGAAAAAATATCTTTCGCAAAATCATGGATTTGAAAAATTTGGCAAGTGTTACTTAATTTTTCCGTAATTTATATGAAGATTTTTCGAAATATTACGTAAAATCACAGATTTCTTACGCCTGCCTCGAAAAAATTCCGCAAGATATTCGTAATTTTTATACGTATTATTACACCTCGAAAAAAATTTTTGTAAAAATTTCCGTAGATCTATATTAAAAAAAATTCGAAGATAAAATTCATGATAATTTTATAGATTTTGATCTAATCACATGAATAAAAAAGACCAACAAAAATCAATCAAATAATTTCATAGTAGTCCATCTGTTAATAATGTGTTCTTATGTATTAATTCAGGATAAAACTAATAATATTGAAGTTGTTTCTAGTTTAAAAAATCTTTTAAACAATCCAACTGGTATTTTCAAAAAAATCATATATTATTTTTACTATTTTTTTTTAATTATTATTATTATTATTTTATTATTTTAGAATATAATCAATACCTAATATACTAAATTTCGAATAAAAATAAATAAATACAATTCATTTATCTCACCTTTTACATCTTTCTATATAGAGATACCTTTTCTCACACTAGAAAATAAGATTGAACTTGTTTCTACTCTCATTTCTGACCTTGATGAAAATGGTGTTCAGAAAAGTTGGAGCCAGGAGGGTACTTGAATACATTTAATTTAATAAATCTGTTGAATACATTCTTCAATTCGCGTATATATATATGTGCGAATGCAAGCATATTATTCATATATACTATAATGAAAAAAAAAAGTGAATTTATAATATACATAATTCTTGTTTGTGAAATTAAGTGACACCTTTCTCAAATGAGAATTATACACACACATAAATATAGTGAAATTGCTGGCATTACAAACATTAAAAACTCTGGGACGAGATGCGAAAGGATGCGACCTTCTATTTTCAAGAGAAGTAAATTATATTGATTCATTAATTCGATAATTCAACAATTCAATTCGGTTAACATTATATATATTGTGTGTGTATATAATTTTATTAAATTTCTAGGGATTTCGAGTCTTATCGTTTCACGCGGAAATAATACCAACCAAAAATAAATTAGAAGATACGCCTGTGTTTCAAGAAGCATTAACATGCATTGCGAACGCGCTTTTATTGAAAGAAAACACGCGTTCTATATTTGAAGAATATGATGGAGTGGCAAGTATTTGTCGAAACTTGAAGGTAAACTTTTAAAAATATTAAATATATGTAAATAATAATTAAGAAGATCAAAAAAGAATAAAATTCTTTCTCACACAAACACAAATACATACACATAATATATATATAATTATTTTTTAGGATAAAGAGCTTTCAATTAAAACTCAATTTCTTATCTTACGAATTTTATTCTTAATGAGCGTTAATTATTCACCAGTAATTCCTAAACTTATTGACGATCTTGGAATAAGCAATATTTTGTATAAAGTAAATTTTTATAATGGATTGGATCATTTCAAACGAAGTATCATTAATTTAATTATTTTTATTGGTTTATAAAGTCTTTACGAACACATGTCAAAGAATTATCTAACCCGGAACCGGTCATACCATCATCACCGTCAATTACTCGAGTCATGGTCTTGAATGAACAGTTAAAATTTCTTTTTAACATAACGATGAAACGTGATGGAAAGGATAGAAAGGATGCAATTAATTTTAAATTTGAAAAGTAAATAATTTGTTTATTTAATCAAATTAATTATTTTAATTAATTATTTTAATATAATATGTTATTATTTTACCTTTTTTTTCTTTTTTCTTCGTAGATTACTCCAACCAATCATCGATATTATTTTAAATATACAACCACCATCACCATTACCTTTAAGTCCACCGCATTCACATGCGATTCATGCACTTTTAAACTTTCCAGTAACACCATATAAATCAATTTGGTTTCCGCCAAAGAAAAAAAGTCAACAATATGAATTGTTTCATAGATTGATAGAAATGTTAAAATCTATGGTTTTTATAGCAGTCCAAGATGATCCCGATTCTAGCAGCGTTGAAAATAATTCAAAATATGGAGTTGATTTTGATGAAGTTATTACACCACTTGTTGCATTATTGAGAAAGTTGGCCGAAGATGATGAATTGGCTAAAACTATAGGGAGAAATCAATTATTGCCTGATGATGTGTAAGTATTTTAAGATCGTTAATTGGGATATCGATCATTTGCATATAAGTATATATAACATGAATATTTAAAATGTTAAAAATATTTTTAAAATCTATTTTAGAGATCGATCCAAACCTTTAGAAAAAGGAGATAGTATTTCTGCAAATTTAATTCGTATAATGACATCCGTCATGTTACCACATTTAAGAGATAGTGTCAGCGAATTATTATTTGTATTATGTGATCAAGATGGTTGGTCTTATATATTTTATATTTCTTATTCCTTTTCAAATTTCAAAAAAAAAATTTTTTAATTTCCTTTTTCTTTCCGTTTAGCCAATCTTTTTATTCATCATGTTGGTTATGGTAATGGTGCAGGATTCTTAATGAGTAGGAACATAATGATCCAACCATCAATACATAATGACCATTCTGAAAAACCAATTAATCCTATCACGGGTCAATATGTGGAAAATGAATCTCCTTCATTAACAAACATGACTGATGAAGAAAAAGAGAGAGAGGCTGAAAAATTATTTGTGTTATTTGAAAGGCTCAAAAAAACAGGTGTCATGGATGTTAAAAATCCTATAGAAGAAAGTATAAAATCTGGTAAATTTTTTGAGATGGAAAATGATGATAAGGATCAAGAAAGTGATTAGAGGTCAGAATTTTCATTTTATTAGACAATTTGATAATTCATTATTTTATTTTATTTTTTGTAATTATTTATTTTATTATTTATTTATTTAAAAGTATTCTTATATCAATTTTTGTTTTTATATTCTTTATATTCTTTGTATTCATTTATTAAAATTTATACATATTATAATAAATATGCTATTTTGTTCGAAACTCATATGATTGCTGTACTACAAATCACGTGAGTCGGTTTTACATACAAAATTTTCTCAATGAAAGAACTGAATAAAATTATTACAGTGGACCCCTTCTATAATCACACCCTTCGGGACCATCTAAAGGTGTGATTATATCGAGGTGTTCTTATGCTGAGGTTTTATTTATATAGTCACATATATATATAATTTTTTACAGGTGTGATTATAAAAAATCAAATATTGTAAAAAAAATATTTCGATTATTTATTAAAATGTAACAAAAAAAGATTATATTATTATTATATTATTAAACTAATAAGTGGTGAAATTATTATATTACATATTAGATATCAATAAATGTATCAAGAGATTTTTGTTTTTTTGAATTAAATTCAATAACTCTAGAATTTTGTAAAATATTCGCAAATCATCTATATTAAATTCAGAATTATTATTTTGTTGTTCAAAATATTTAATAAAAGTTTCCAACCCACTAATTGCATCTTTAACTGATACTGGAAGTACTTTATCATCATCACTATCACTCTCACTTTCTTCATTTTCTTCAGATTGTATCAAATTAACAATTTGTTCTTCAGTGGAAATATTAAAATCAATTAATTGAAAATACCTTTGTACACAATCTTTTTCAGGTAAATTATCAAGAAGATTTATAATTTCTTCAT